TTCATTAAAGGGTACTCATCTGTTATCGCTCCTATCACTAATATGACTAAACAAGGAGCCGATACCAAAACATGGTCTACTGAGGCTTTATCTGCTTTCGAAACGCTCAAACAGACTTTCGCTTCAGCACCTGTATTAGTTCATCCTGATACCTCTCTGCCCTTTTTGCTTGAAGTTGATGCGTCTGAAACGGGGATAGGCGCTGTATTGTCCCAAAGACAAAGTTTAGATAAGCCTTTACACCCTTGTGGTTTTTTTTCCAAGAAATTATCACACACTGAAAGAAGATATGATATTGGTGACAGAGAACTCTTAGCTATTATTATGGCATTAAAAGAATGGAGACATCTGTTAGAGGGCACTGTTCTCCCGGTTACCATCTTGACTGATCACAAAAATTTATCTTACATTGGGGAGGCCAAAAGATTATCCGCCAGGCAAGCACGTTGGTCTATGTTCCTTACACATTTCAATTACATACTTACTTACAGGCCTGGTTCTAAAAACACCAAAGCAGACGCATTATCTCGTCAGCACGAACCTATTACCACATTAGAAGACACATTGTCTCCTATTGTTCCTGAACATAACATTATCGCCAACACCAATGTCAAAATACACTCTCCATTGCTCGCAGATATAATTAACGAACAATCTCTTGCTCCCGAACATACTCCTGTGGGTCGCTTCTTCGTGTCTCCCAAATTCCAATTGGACATTATTCGATGCTTTCACGATAGCAAGTTTGCCGGTCACCCCGGCATCCACAAAACTTGCTGTCTGATTTCCAAGGACTTCTGGTGGCCTAGTTTACGGAGGGATGTGGAAGACTTTGTCAAGGCCTGCGATATCTGTGTTAGGAATAAACTACCACAGGCCCTTCCCTGTGGTCTGTTGCAGCCCTTAGTCGTTCCCAACAAACCTTGGGCTAGTCTGGCTATGGATTTTATTGTTGATTTGCCGGTTTCCAATAGACACACTGTTATCCTCACGGTTCTTGACAGGTTTACCAAAATGGCTCATTTCATCCCCTTGCCTAAACTTCCTTCCTCACCCAAATTGGCCGTGATATTTGCTAAGGAGATTTTTCGCTTACATGGGATTCCCAATGAGATTGTGTCTGACAGGGGGTCCCAGTTAATTTCCCGTTTTTGGAGATCCTTCTGTTCCCAGTTGGGCATCAAGCTGAATTTTTCTTCGGCCTATCATCCTCAATCTAACGGGGCAGCCGAATGCACTAACCAGAAAATTGAGCAATATCTACGTTGTTTTGTTTCTGAACACCAGGACGATTGGGTCGGTCTGATTCCTTGGGCGGAGTTTGCTCACAACAACCTTGTTTGTGGTTCCACTCGTAATAGCCCCTTTTTCTTGAATTATGGCTTTAACCCTACTATTCTTCCGTCGGTGTCACCTTCTCATGGTTTACCGTCGGTTGATGTTCATATAGCCAACCTGAGAAAGTTGTGGGATCAGACTCGACAAATTCTTACACGTAGCTCCGCGGTGTTTAAGATGCATGCTGATAGGCGTAGACGGCCCGCCCCTGTCTTTTCTCCAGGTGATAGGGTCTGGTTGAGTACCAGACACATTCGCTTGAAAGTTCCTTCCATGAAGTTTGCTCCTCGTTACATAGGTCCTTACAGGGTGTTGAGGAGGATCAACCCGGTTTCTTATTTGCTGGACCTGCCTCCTACTCTACGTATCCCTAACTCTTTTCATGTGTCTTTATTGAAACCTCTTGTTTGTAACAGGTTTTCTTCCCATCCTGCTCCTCCATCTTCTCCATCTCCTCCAGCTGATGGTCAAGAAGAATATATTGTTAAGTCCATTCTTGATTCTCGTATTTCCAGGGGGAAGTTACAATACCTCATAGACTGGAAGGGTTATGGCCCAGAAGAGAGATCTTGGGTTCCTTGTGAAGATGTGCATGCTCCTCGTCTTCTTCGAGCCTTCCACGTTCGGTTTCCTTCTAAGCCCGGTCACATCCGCCCGGTGGGCGTTTCTAAAAGGGGGGGTACTGTCAGGTTACCTGTAAATTATGTCTCTGAGGAGGTCAGTCTCTCTTCATAGGGGCTCCCCTCCCCTAGCATTTTGGCATTTTCTGTCCGTTTTCCCACCGGCCGCGCTAGCTCCTCCCCCTTTTATGACGCGACGGCTAGCGTCGACGTCATTACGTCATCATTACGTGAAGCGCCGGGAACCGCAATCCCGGACCTTTTGGGGGCGTGGTCTCAATTAAGGTGACAGGGTATTTAAGGGAAACTTTCACTACTGCTCATTGCCCTGTCGTGGTTCTAGCTTGCTAGTCACTCAGCGCGTTCTCTCTCTTTGTGTTTTCGGTTTTGACCTTGCTTGTACCTTGTCCTGCTGCTCTCTCCTCTCCTTTGACTCGGCTTATTCCTCGCTTACCTGTCCTCCGGCTCCCTCGACCTCGGCTTACCTTTTGACCATTCTTGTTTTGTCTATACGTTAGTCCGGCCATTCTAAGGTCCGGTATACGTACCTCCTTCTGTCTGCACTCTGCGTATTGGATCCCTGTCTCGATCCTGACAGAGTGTCAGGGTCTTAACGTAAAAACTCAAATGCTTGGTCTTGTTAATTCTATTTTCAAGGAGATAAAAGAAATTAGCCCTCAACTACCTTCGCAAGATAAATATCAAAAATATCTTTTGACCCATATATTTTTTGCCATTAAAATATGTATAGCTAGGGCTTGGAAATCTTCTATCCTATTAATATGGCATAATATCCCTGGACAAATAGACAGTATATAAGACAACAAACACTGTGATCCCTTTTGAAGCCCCATGTCGAGTCTCAGAAATTTAATTTATTTCCATTATAATTCATTTATTTTTTTTGAGTATGTCAATGTGACAGCTATAACATGGAAATCTTTGGTGTGAATTCTTTTTGATAGCGGTTGGCATTGGACAAATGTAGCGTGATTGAAGGATACACCGTGTGTACGATGGTTTTCACTAAAACGTTGTACTCTATGTGGAAACTTTCGGTGTTTAACACTACACAGTGCCTATATTATAATATACTGCCAGTATGTCCTTGTTTAGAGCAGTTATATTGATGTTTTCTTTTCTTTTGGTTTATTTTGTTTTTTCATTCCTTTTTTGTTCTTTTTAAGTTAATGCTATAAACTGAATAAATAAAAGCTGATGCGCTAACGTTAATAACTTTATGGTATACTATAATAACACCTCAGGAATGTAAATCCATACTGTTTATAGCTTAATAAAAAAAAAAAAAGAAATGTGTTTGTTTTAACATATATCTCTATGTTTAATTGTTTTAATGCATTGGAGGATTGCCTTTGGGGTACCTCACACGTGCGTGTTATAAACTTTCACATTACAAAATAAAGAAATTTAAAAAAAAAAGTTACTCTTAGGAATCTTAGAAGGTCTTACAAGAAGTAAATGATCTGCCAAGAGCTAACACTTCACCAGATGATGATCAGTTTAGCTATTTTAAATATTGGAATTTACTTCTTTCTATATATGCTTCACATTTTTTAATCTTCTACTTTCTCTTCCCCTACAGACGTCTAAATGGATTGATTTTCCACTTGATCGTATAACACCAAACAGTTGATCTCCCCTGGCCTGTTAAGTCTGAGCAGCACAGAGTAAAGTGAATTTTATTTTATAATTTTCCTAATTTATTTTACAAGTTGTATTACAGAGATGGAAAACTGTATGGTTTAACTGTAGCATATTGTTTAGTCTGTTACCTCTTCTTTAGTAGCCTCTTTGATCCCCAGTGTCGGTTTTGATGTTCTTTCCCGTGCTGTAGTCTATGAAAGAAAAGAAAAATCTTCAACTCAATGATTTCAAATATCATTAACAAATATCCTGAGCCAGGGCCTGATTTCCCATTAGGCTGACAAGGCAGCTGCATATAGTCCCATGTCTGATGGGGAACCTATTCTGTTTGTCAAAAGCTCCTTACTATCTCCTGACCAGAACAAAGGGTGCTGGGCTCTGAGATACCTGTATTAAGTCTGATGGAGCCTGATCTGTGCGTGACTCCACCCACACACTGTGTTACAGAGACTGAAAACCTTATAGTTTAACTATAGAATATTTGTTAGTCTCTTACCTTTACTCTAGTGGAACTTTCTGTTTCCAGTCTTGGTTTTGATTTAGGCTATGAAAGAAAAGAAATATATTCAACTCGATTAATTCTAATATAATGAGAAAATATCAAAAGCCAGGGCCTGATTTCCCATTAGCCAAGGTAGGCAGCTGCATACAGTCCCATGTCTGATGGAGAACCTACTCTGTTAAAAATCCCTCTCTACCTTCTGATAGAACAAAGGGTGCTGGGCTCTGAGAAATCTGTATTAATCTGATGGAGCCTGATCTGTGCGTGACTCCGGCCCCTCAGACTGAACACAATGATCTCCTAGAAGGAGAGGGAGAGGACTGGGGCCAGAATGGCCAACTCAGAAAAGCATGGCAGGTACACAGTCACACTGACACAAACATGTTAGAAAATATATCTACAAGCATTGCACACACATTGTATTACAGAGACTGAAAACCTTATAGATTAACTATAGAATATCTGTTAGTCTCTTACCTTTACTATAGTTGAACGTTCTGCTTCTAGTCTTGGTTTTGATATAGGCTATGAAAGAAAAGGAAAATATTCAAAGTGATTAATTCTAATATAATAAGAAGAAAGTAGGCAGCTGCATACAGTGCCATGTCTGATGGGGGCACCTACTCTGTGTTAAGAAGCCCCTCCTTACCTCCTGCCAGGTGTTTTCTGATCAGAACAAAGGCTGCTGCTCTCTAAGATCTCTGTATGCATTCTGATGAAAGGGACACCGGAGGCACTGTATCTGCTTCATCTCATTAAACTGGTTATAGTGTATGGAGTCCTCTGGTGCCATCATTTCTTTCAGCATTAAACAGTTTTTAATGTTGTAATGTTTTAATGCTAAACAAGAGACCCCGGCAGTCCATCCCCTCTGTGCTGCTTTGGCTAATAAGGAAGTTTTACCCTGAGCAGCAATGGTCAGCAGTGATTGGCTGAGAGTGTCAGCTGACTGCTTTTAACCTGTCAGAGCTCCAACTGACGGTATGAATGGGTATGACAACAAGGAAGTGTGTAATCTCTGCCTTAGCTACACATACAGAAGGGGCTGGACTGTGGGTGGCCAGGGACGCTTATTTTGTGGCATACTGCACAAACATGGTGCAACACTGAATGGAGGGACAGTGCCAGGGCACTCCAGGCACTATAACCAATTCAAAGAGACAAAGTGGTTATAGTGACTACTGTGTCCCTTGAAGCCTGATCTCTTCATGGCCCCGCTTTCTCAGACTGAACACAGTGATCTGAGCTTGGTCCCTCCCCCTCAGACTGAACACAGTGATCTGAGCTTGGTCCCTGCCCCTCAGACTGAACACAGTGATCTGTGCATGGCCCCGCCCCCTCAGACTGTACACAGTGATCTGTGCATGGCCCCACCCCCTCAGACTGAACACAGTGATCTGTAAATGGCCCCGCCCCCTCAGACTGAACACAGTGATCTGAGCATGGCCCGGCCACGCAGGCTGTACACAATGATCTGTGCATGGCCCCGCCTCCTCAGACTGAACATAGTGATCAGTAAATGGCCACACCCCCTCAGACTGAACACAGTGGTCTGAGAATGGCCCCTCCCCCGCAGGCTGTACACAGTAATCTGTGCATGGCCCCGCCCCCTCAGACTGAACACAATGATCTCTGTATAGCCCTGCCCTCTAAGGGGGGGGAGGGGAGGTATGGGGCCATTATGGCCAACTCGGAACTCTAAATGGATTGATTTTCCAATGGATCAGATAACACCAAACAGTTGATCTCCCCTGGCCTTTTAAGTCTGAGCAGGAGGGAGCAAAGTTAATTTTATAGCATGACAGGAGGCTTCATATTTGCTTAAGTCTCTCTTTACTGGAAGTCCACAGCAGCACATTGAGAGAGAAAAAAACAATCAGAAAAAAGTGAGGAAACCATAAAAGGTCCCTCCCAAGCAACAACTTCCTCTTTCTTTGCTGCTCCACATCAAGCACAGGTCAAGGGTACTATTACCTCCTATTGCTATATGGGGTTTGGGGTATACATATATATACATATATATATATTTATATATATATATATATATATATATTCACTGATTTTTGTTGCTTACTGGTATATTGTTCTCTTCTGCTTTCTTACCCTCCTGTAGTGTGTGCAATGTAACACGTGAAGTCTCCTTACCCTCTATGATGTACAGGGGCAGACAGAGTTTTTGGGACGCCCGAGCACAATTAGATCCCAGGCCTTTTGAAGGCCAACTATATGTGCATTAAATAAATGCTAAATATAACTCTCCTATAATACGGCATTCCTTTGGATGTGTATATTGTGAAGACCTGTGTATCAATACATGTTTGTATTTGAGTCTGTGTGAATGCACTTGTGCATGTCTGGATGACTACATGTGCTTTTTAGTGTATTGAGCATTAATATGTGTCTGCATGTGCAGTGGCGTGGAATATTAAAAAAATCTATTTGTCCAAGGGGGGGGAGGTGACAGGTGACAGAGTGTGAGGGAGGGGGTGACAGGTGGAAGAGTGAGGGAGTGCCTGGTGGCAGAGTGAGGGAGGGTGTGATTGGTGGCAGAGTGAGGGGGGAGGGTGGCAGAGGGAGGGGGGCAGCAGCAGTGAGGGGGTAACTGTGACAGAGTGAGGGAGGGTGACTAGTGAAGAAGGGAGGGGGAGACTGGTGACAGAGTGAGGGAGGGACAGGGTGACTGGTGACAGAGTGAAGGAGGGAGGGGGTGACTAGAGGCAGAGTGAAGGAGGGAGGGGGTGACAGAGTGAGCGACGGGGTGACTGGTGGCAGAGAGGGAGGGGGTGATTGGTGGCAGAGTGAGTGAGGGAGGGGGTGACACAGTGTGGGGTCACTGGTGACAGAGTGAGCGAGGGGGGTGGTGACAGAGAGATGGAGGGTAACTGGTGATACAGTGGGGGAGGTGACTGACAGAGGAATGGTGACTGGTGATACAGTGGGGGAGGTGACTGGTGACAGAGTGAGGGAGGGGGTGACTAGTGAGAGTAAGGGAGGGAGGGGGTGACTAGTGACAGAGGGAGAGAGTGACTAGTGAGAATAAGGGAGGGGGTGATGAGTGACAAAGGGAGGGGGGGTAATGAATGACAGAGAGGGAGGGGGTGACTGGTGACAGTAAAGGGGTGACTGGTGACAGAGTGAGGATGGGGTGTGACTAGTGACAGTAAGGGAGGGGGTGACTAGTGACAGAGTGGGTGACCTGGCAGAGAGGAGGTAATGCTGCCAGGTCTCATTAAAGGACCACTATAGGCACCCAGACCACTTCAGCTTAATGAAGTGGTCTGGGTGCCAGGTCCATCTAGGTTTAACCCTTTCTGCTGTAAACATAACAGTTTCAGAGAAACTGCTATGTTTACACTAGGGGTAATCCAGCTCCTAGTGGCTGTCTCTTTGTGTGATTTTCACGGTGAGAAGATGCCAGCGTCAATAGAAAAGCATTGAGAATTCTTTCCTATGGACTGGCTGAATGCGAGCGCGGGCACTGGCATGATTCGTCCACTGCTGGTTCCGCAGAACTCTGGATGGGGAGGTTCACAGGAAACTTCAGGAGGAATGCCCCAGGCCTATACTGCCGGACAAGGTCGCCACGACCTGGAATTCGATCCCCTGGTTTCTACATACATGTCCCGTACTAGGAGTGATCCCAAGAAAGGGGTTGAGCACAACCTACGTTTGGCGCAGGACAAACTACTGGACATGTTGGGTCCCCTATGCGGGATGCTCATGTTGGCGGATGAAGCCTACTCGGAAGGGGCTTCCCTGGACCCAGCCGCCTTGCGGGACTGGTCTTTGCGCTTTATTTGCCTCCTGGGCGATACGAGCGTGGTGCTCTCCACGGAACGCAGGAAGGCGGTTCTTTTCAGAACAGGCAACAAGTTGGCGGATTTGGGGTCAAAGGAATTGGGCCCCTTGACTAAAGGTCTTCTGTTCGGGATACCATTCATAAAAGAACTACATAAACATAAGAACCGGTTTACTTTCCTGGACAAGGCTCAGACCTCCATGAAGAGAGTCTTTCACCCACAGACTTCACAGGTATTTTGGCAGGGCTGGACGACAGTGGGGTCGTGTCTCCAACCGCTTCTGGTCTTCTGGCCATCGAGGATCCCGTGGACCAGCCCTTCTAGTTTCAAGTCGGGCCAGAGGACGTGCAGGGCTCCAGACATTTTCAGCTCAGATTTTTCTGGTATGAAAGACGTCCAGAGAATTCCGCCCAGTAATCAATCTGCGGGACCTAAACTACTTCGTGGTCTACCACCATTTCAAAATGGAGGGAATCCGTCTCCTGTGGGACCTACTCTGCCCGGGAGATTAGTTCACTGGAGGACGCCTACTTCTCAGTCCCTGTGGACGCCGAGTGCCGCAGATTCCTCCACTTCCTCTGGAGGGGCAGACCTTGCCAATTCACCTGTCTTCCCTTCGGCCTCAGCTCGGTTACGTGGTGCTTCACCAAGCTCTTGAAGCCGGTGATTGCTCGCTTCCGATCAGAAGGCGTCCGTTATATCGTTTACCTGGGCAATCTGTTGATCTTCTGCAAGGAGCCCCCCAGACTGAAGTGTCAGATGTACTCTGCGGTCTCCTTATTCAAACATTTGGGTTTCATGGTCAGCCAGGAGAAGTCGGCTCTCTCTCCTTCCCAGGTGGTCGAGTTCTTGGGTTTCGGAATAATAAACTGCCTGGAACTGATTGCGGGATCGTTTGCGATTCGGAGTTGGCAAACCACCTTTCGGATTGCTGCGACCCCCTCCAGATGGACAATGTCTCGGCGGTGCAATACATCAACTGCTTGGGAGGCGCCTGTTTTTTGACGCTCTCGGAGGTGACAAAGGAGATTTACAGCTTCTGCTTACAGCGCTGCATCATCCTCCAGGCGGAATACCTACCGGGGGAGTCGAACCTGAATGCGGATTGGTTCTCCAGACATTGGACGCCAGTGATTGGAAGCTTCTTAGTTCCATCTTCCTCGAGCTCGCGAACCAGAAGGACCTATTCATGGTGGACCTTTTCACCTCCCAGACGAACTATCAGGTCCCGACCGACTTCAGCTGGCTTTCAGATCCAGCGTGCTCAGAGGTGGAAGCTTTGCTTCAAGCATGACCTTCTAGGGGAGCTTATGTGTTTCCTCCGTTTGCTATGACTCCCAGGGTATTGCTGCACGTTCGACGTCAGCATGGGTCTTTGGTGTTGCTGACTCCGCTATGGCGGGGTCAAGCCTGGTTTCCGAATCTCCTGGATCTGTCCCATCAGGATCCACTGCTCCTGCCGTCCCCTCTAATGCTCCTCTCGGGCTCCCTGGGAAATCCTCTTCCGTTCTTAAGGGACAGCCACCTGTACTTGTACCACTTAGAGGTTTGCCCATTGGTCAAGATCCGCTATCTGCAGACTTCTTCGTGGTATGAAACAGAGTGAGTTTAGTAAAGTCTGGATATGATATACAGACTATACTAATCAAATGAGTGGAGCGCTATGTTAAAAAAAAAAATAATATATATATATATATATATATATATATACACACTTAAAGCAAATAGGGTGTCAGACTTGGATGTACATAAAACACATACAGGGAAAACAGAAAATAAAACACAATATGGTGTAAATCCACAAAAGATCATAAAGTAGAGTGTAGTCTTAAGTGATTAAACTCACATGGATTGGAGCCTCAGAAGGACAGGCTCAAATCGCTACGACAGTAGTGTCGTATGGTAACACTGCACCCTTTTAACTGGAATGGATTTCCTCAGGAAACAAGATAAAAAAAGGAGACTTCCTAATGTATTACATTCCAATATAGATATGAATTCGCAGTACTTATGGTTATGCTCACCTTTTGTAGAGCCAAAAAAAACCTGGACCTGGGTGCCTCTAGAGGGGGGCGTAACAGATCCCCCTGTTTTGCATTGGATCTGTAATATATGTTGTACCAGCATCCTACCCTATTGCCTGGGAGCCTCTACCTTTTGCCTTCCTGCCATCATCCACATTGCCCTGCACCTAAGGACAAAAACAGTTTCTGGCCCTTTAACTGTGTTGTGCAAAGAATGGGTACATTTGATATGGCACTTCGGATACAGCCGAAGTGCCGAAGTAGTCGAAGTGGCCACCATTAGACAGTTGAA